GCGGCGCGGGCTCCGGCACAGGCTCGGGCTCCGGCATGGTGCAATCCGGCCTCGTCCCGGGAGAGCGGGGCCCGCGTGCGGGGCCGGCGCCGGGGGAGCGGCGGCAGCGACGGTGGCGGTGGTGGCTGCAGGCGCAAGCAGGCGGCAGGTGCTAGAAGCGGGGCTGGGCGAGGTGTGTGCCCGCTGGGCTCCGGGGCCGCCGCTCCCTCGCTGCCCCCATCTTTCCCTCTCTTCGGGATTCCCAGCGTGTCCAGCCCCCTGTCTCCGCGCCCCGGCCCATGGCGCCCCGCGGTTGAGCCGGCGCCGCCAGGGACCCCTCCCGCGGGCCTCCCCGGGGCGCGCAGATCCCGGAGCCGCCCGCCCACCCTCCGCGGAGTCTCCCTCCCTTCCTCGCCCGAGCCGGGCGGGACCATGGCTGCTAAGCTGCGAGCGCATCAGGTGGACGTGGACCCGGACTTCGCGCCGCAGAGCCGGCCGCGCTCGTGTACCTGGCCCCTGCCGCAGCCCGACTTGGCCGGCGACGAGGACGGAGCGCTGGGTTCAGGGGTGTCTGAGGGCGCCGAGGACTGCGGGCCGGAGCGCCGGGCTACGGCCCCGGCGATGGCCCCAGCGCCGCCGCTGGGCGCGGAGGTCGGACCGCTGCGGAAAGCGAAGAGCTCCCGGCGGAACGCGTGGGGGAACCTGTCCTACGCCGACCTCATCACCAAAGCCATCGAGAGCGCCCCGGACAAGCGACTCACGCTCTCGCAGATCTACGACTGGATGGTCCGTTACGTGCCCTACTTCAAGGATAAAGGCGACAGCAACAGCTCGGCGGGCTGGAAGGTGGGAGCGTCCGGCTGGGGAGGGGGGCTGGGGTCGCCGGCTGGGGATTCCAGGGGCCGCTAGGTGCGTCCGGATTCCCAGTGAGCCGTCGGGAGGGAGGCCCCGGGGCACCCCTTGGGGTCACGGAGTGTGTGCCCGGGGAGTGGGGCTGGCCGGCAGACAGGCGGGGGCGTGCTGGGAGCAGCTGTGTGCGTGCTCTCCATGCAGGGTGGGAGGTCTGGTGAGGTGACAAGGGACTGCTACTTTGAAGCACCCCCGAGGGACACCCCCACCCCATCCTTGGCAGCAGAGCAGAGGAACCCGTTTCCAGGCCTCGGGTATTAGGGGGCCCCCTCTTCACCCCCACGAGTTTGCTTTGTGTGTTACTCTTGTTTTACCCTCTCCACCCAGACACCCTCCTTAAAAGAGCCGGAATAATGATTTGGGGCCAGCCCTTGCTTTCCCCCCAAATCTTTCCCACTGTCCTCCCTGGAGCTGGCTCCAGGGTAAGGAAGGAGTGCCACCCTGAGCCCACAGTTCTTCCTGTGGTGTCAGGAGTTCACCCTAGGGCACCAGCCAGCCTGGGGTGGGGAGCTGGTCAGGTGAGCTGGGATCTGACCTCTCCACGGGGCAGCTCTTCTTCCCCCTTGCCTGGGTCAGCATGGTGATGACCTCTGCTGGTGTGAGGGCAGGGTATTGAGGACTGGGGATCTGTCCCTGCCCACCCCAGGCTGTCTTCCACTCTCCTGGCTTTCCCAGCCCAGATGGATTGGGAGGGGAGGGGAGGGGAGGGGAGGGGCAGGGGCAGGGGCACCCCAGGAAGGCCTCCGTGCCATCCAGTGGAAAGGGGGGAGCCATCTTGGGAGAGGACAAGGGCTTGACTGGATTGTGGCCTCCAGACCCTCCTCTGGCCGTCTTGTCCAGGAATGGGGATAGTTGGTGCCTTTGCAGAAGGAGGAGGTTGTAGGGGCTGTGCCTAAGGCCTCTGAGCTGTTAGGCCTCCTGTGGGAGAGGGGTCTCTGCAAGGGGGGCTTGCCTAGATGGAGGGAGGGAGCTGTGCCTAGTGGTGGCTGCAGACAGGGTCAGGGGAAGGAGGTGTGCCAGAGGAGGAGGAGGAGGCCTGTGGACGTGGACAGCTCTGGTTGCCCAGTGGCTGCCTCGTAGGGGCCACAGTGCTCTGACCTGGGGGCGCGTGACTCTCAGGCTTCTTGCTGGCTGCTTCTCTGTCTCTCTCTGACCACGATGGGGGTAGAGGCACAGGTTGGAGGCACTCACGTGAGTCTCCCTCCACACCCTCTCTCCAGTCCCCTTGGTCTCAGACCCCACCAGAACACTTATTCCTCCTAAGTGGGCACTGCTTTTGGGTTTTGCAGCTTTGCTCCCACCTCCCTCCCTGTCCCCATGCATTGTCCCACTGTTCACTTCTCCCTGTAGATTTCCTGTCCTCAAGAGCATAGCGTTTGGATGCCTCTTCCAGGAAGCCTTCCCTGACCCCTTTTAGCTAGCTAAGGACTCCCTCTTCTCTGGCCCTCTCCCCGCCTGTCACAGGGCTCAGTCTTTTGTGTCTTGTTTCATTTCCCTTCCCCACACCCCCTTTAGAAGACAGTGGCAGTGTGGGAGCAATCTCTGTGCCCACAGCAGCCAGCGTAGAGCCTGGCACTGGGGAGCCGTCAGTGCTTATCTGGTGAGAGTGTGAGGAAATGGGTGGCTGGTGCAGAAGATACTGAGGCTGGGGAGGGTACTGTGGGCCAGAGTAAGCTAGGAGGGCTTCTTGTAGGAGGTGGAACTCCGCTTGAGCTTGATGGATGAGGGCTGGTGGGGGACGCTGGCAAGAGGAGACATGGGGCTGGATGCTGGGGGAGAGCTGCAGTTCATGCAGGGTCTCGGGGTCAAGCCCCGTGCCAGGCACCTCCGGGCATCGTGTCCGGTGTCTCCTTTAATGCCCTCAGCAGTCCCTGAGGTGGGTTTTACTGTCACCATTTACAGAGCTGGGCGCTGAGGCGCAGAGTGGAGGAGTGAACTGCCCAAGGTCACACAGTCGGTAGATGGGAAAGCTGGACTCCAATCCAGGTGTGTCTCCCTCCGAGGCCCCATAGAGTCTCTGGAATAGTGTCCTGCTGGCACTGGGTGTGGGAGGGGGACCCAGATGGCTTTTGAACAGGGGCAGGTCTAAATCCTAGAATGGGACTGGGAATGTGCTTGGAGATATAACATAGTCGCATGAGTTCATTTCTCAGGCGGTGTGACTGAGGCCCCGGAAGGGGACGGAACTCCTTAGGTCGCTGGTGAGCGGCAGGCCTTGGATGACGGCCCAGGTCTCCTGCCTACCCACTGGAAGTGGTTACCACTGCACCACGGTGCTGGGGACACACTGGTCCTCCCTGCACCTGGCTCAGGAAGGAAGGAGCCCTGGCAGGCGGGTCCTGAGCTGGGGCATGGGAGAGGGAGCCTGAGGCTTGGGCTTGTGACCCAGGCCCTGGCCGAGACCACCCAGGCACTGGATGAGGGCTGTTCAGGGGGGCCTCTGGCCTTTCCCATCTCATTCCCTCAGTGGCTGCCCTCATTCTGCCCCACCCCCCATCCTTTTCCTCCTCTCATTCCTGCTCCCCACCCCACCCCACCCCATTCCCATTCAGTCCCTCCAGGAACCCAGTGGAGGGATAATCCCCAGCTCCTGGGGCCAGTCTGTGCTTAGCAAGGCTTCTGTACACCTCAGGTGCCAGGCCTGGGGCTGGGGCCCATTGTTCCTTCCTCCCTCCCCTCCCCCACATAGGTGTTGCACCTGAATCCTTGGGGTGTACCAAACCCTGTATTAGATGGAGGATGGGGGACCAAAGGGGAAGGCGTCGGGCCTGCCTTCAGGATGCATCAGGGCTCCACACCCAGGCTGTGTATTTTACAGGCAGGAAGGGCTGGGGATGGGGGCAGGGGTGCAGGGAGGGCAGGTTAGACCCCCTGGGAGCCCAGGCAAACCCTCACAGAGAAGGTGGTACTTGATCCGGGCTGTCTTCATTGGGGGGCAGAATTTGGGAGAAAGTCTCTCCAGGGATGTTGACTGCATACGCAAAGGCAAGGAGGTAGAACTGTACTAGACCATTGGGCGGGCCAGGCCGGAACCAGTAGCTCCTAGGGATGGATGGAAGGTGGCACAGGAAAGGCGGAGTGGGCCAGATCAGGAAGGGCCCACATGCTTGGCCTTTGCCCTGTGGTCCCACCTCTGATGTGGGGAGGTAGTCAAAGGTGCTGAGGATAGAAACAGGAGGAGGCAAGATCAGCAGCAGGTGCCAGGACCCCCAACAAGCTGAAGCCTGCAGAGAGGCTCGGCTTGGTGCTGGAGACCCCCCCCCCCCCGAAGAGGCTGATAGTGTTTCCCTCAGGGTGGAGGGTCTCCAGGCCCTGGGTGAGGGCTTGAACAGGAGGTCCTCCTCCCTCTGCAGTGTCCTAGAAGTGTGTTTGTCCGACAACCGGCTAGAGCCTCCCACTTCTCGGATGCCCCAGCCCCATCTTCCCTGGTGCACAACTCCTCCAGGAAGCCTTCCAGGCTGGTATGGGTCCTGGTGCTCCTTCCATTTAGCGGCCCCTGGAGTTGTTCTTCCTGCTTTTGTGTTTCCTGGCTGCCAGCTCCCCTGAGAGCTCCCAGGCCAGGCCTGGGTCCCTCCCATTCCAGTCCCCAGGCTTGATGGGGGAGGAGCACAGTGGATGGGGACTTCCTTTTTCCCTCAGGGCCTGGAGCTGCCCTGTGGTTGGGGGATGGGGTCTTGAGGGGTGGTGCTACCCCCATCTGGCCGAGGCTGGCCAGTAGGTCTTAGGTGGGGTGGAAGGAGGGACCGATGGAGAGACCTCTGGGAGAGGGGTCCTGTTACAGCCAGGCTGAGCAGTAGTTGTGAGTGCAGAGGGCTCCCGCTTCTCGCCTCCTTCCAGCTTGCTCCAGCAGGGCTCCCTCCTCCTTCTTTGTCCTCCGGGGATCCCCAGCCCCAAGGGCTGGTGGGGGTGCGGGAGGAGGCGGTGTGAGCCCCGGTTGGGGGGTGTCCTCACCCCCCGCACTGCACGAGCTGGGGGCTGGCAGCTGCCCGCCTCCTGGGCACGAGCCCGTGCCAGCCGCTCCTGGCACAGTTGCTGGCACGCCCGGCAGACTCCCACGGCCACCTGCTCACACCCACCCACGAGCGCTGGCGCGCTGCGGGCCCTTCCGGCTTCCCGGGCCTCCCGGCGCCCCTCCCCCGCCGCCCGGCTCCGGAGCCCCCACCCCAGTCCTCTGCTCCCCGCCGGCCCCCTCGCTCCCCGCCAGCCCCTGGGCCCAGCCCCCTCCCTGCGCAACTTGGGGAGCTCTGGAGTCTGGGTTGCGGGGAGGCCCCCTGGGTTGCCGCGGGGAGAAGCGGGGACGCGGAGACAGACAGACAGACAGACGGACAGACAGGGTGAGGGCCCCGCCTGCCACCTGGCGCCGCTCCAGCGGGACGATGGCGGGCAGCGCCGTGCCAGGCGGTAATTGCAGACAGACTAATTTAAAGAGATGAGACGGTTATTTTTAACTCGTGTTAAGGTAATGAACGGCGCGGGGGGTTTGCGGGTTCGAAAGTTCAGCGCCCCCCCCCCAGCCCCCACTTTCTGCGGGTTGGGGCCCCCCTCTCTGCACACACCCTGAGGACTCCAGCTTGGGGACTGACTGGAGTTGGGGGCCTCTGCCAGAGACGGGCGGACTGAGAGGGCCAGGAAAGAGGCGCCCCCTAGTCCAGCGCAGATCCGTTCACATTCTGGCCACCATGTTTCCAGAGGCACTAGCATCCCTGTATCCCAGGGGGAGAAGTGACTTGCCCTGGGGTCACGTCCCTAGGAAGTGTCTGGCCTGGGAATTGAACCCCTTTCTGACCCCCAAACTCAAGCCTTTTCTGTGCCATTGGGGCTGGAGGAGGGGGCTCGTGTTTGGATCTTGAAAGGGTGCAGGCTCGTTCCGGGCAATCCACAGTCATGTCTTTGAGCAGCAGTTGGTAGTGGCCACCGCACAGGGTCCTGGGGGTTGT